AAAAAAAAAAAAAAATAATAATAGAATGCACGTGAAACATACTTTTTCTATATCCTTCTAATAGTAAATTTTTGTTTGTCAGAGTAAATTTGCTTTGCCAAATCTTAAAGATCATACATATTTTTATCGTATTTGATCAATGCAAGAAACAATTATTATGCTCAAATATTTTGTGTATATATATATATATATGTGTGTGTATGTTTATGTGTGTAATTAATAAAAATATTTAATGACAACAATGTGCCCAGAAAAAGAAGTTATACGTTTCCGTTTTGTATGTGTATGTATGTATGTATGTATGTATATATGTACGTGTAAGTATATATACGAGGAACGCACAACACTACTACTACAAACACATATACCCGATGAAAGTCACGACGCACTTTTTAGTTTTCTCCTAACGCAAAGTTTTCTATATAGTTTAATCTTGTACGTTAATTAAAAAATATATATATATATATGTGTATAGATAAGAAAATGATTAATTTTTCTTTTCTTTTCTTTCGTTTCTTTTTCTTTTTCTTTTCCTCAACGACGTGGTGTGTTGGTGTCACATATAAAATTATGACAAATGACATTTAAATCTATATTGCGTTGGTAGTAGTATCATCTCTCAAGCATATTCGGACGATAATAAGATTTATTGTTTTAAAATGGGAATCTTTGTTTATAAATCGATGGAACTTAATTTTAAATGTTTTAATATTGAAATTTAAATCTCGCGTTTAATGTGTCACCCATTTATAAGATAATATAATCATTTATATTTATGTTTATATATATTTTATAATGATGCATAAATTAGAAAATAATATGATGTATCAAAAATTGAAAAAAGAAAAAAAAAAAAAAAAACAAAAATCATCAATTACCCGTACAAGAAAAATCATTAAATCATCGACGCGAGGATAGAACTTATCAATCGGAAATCTATTATTTCACATAACTCATTAAGTTATATATATATATATACATATACATGTGCATGTGCATGTATAAACATAACATATATAATCACTCAATGAACTAGTATATCAGTAAGTTAAAATATATAATAATATTATTAAGTTCCACTAACTTACTTCGTATTATCATTATTTTTTCTTTTTTTTTTTTCTTTTTTTTTTTTTTTTTTTTTTTTATATTATACATTAAACATTCTGCATCGATCATTTACGTTATCTCAGACACATATACGTTAATAAACACTACATAATCTCATATATCTCTCGTTTACAAACGNTTTTTTTTTTTTTTTTTTTTCTTTTTTTTTTGTTTCACAATCATCTAGAATTTTTCTTCATCAATGCACTTTTTTCTTTTTTTGTCCTTTTTTTTTATATTCTTTTTTTTCAAACTCGACTCATATATGAAATCCACACGCGTAAAGAAGACCACACATATTTGTTTGCACGTTTAAAGATGATCAAAGCTATCCGTAAGAGATACATGCAGGCCGTATCATTCGTGAAAGCTATTGTGCTAATTTCTCAAGCTGATAAAAGAGTGAAAGGATCATAGTATATATATATATATATATTATATATATATATATATTTTTTTTTTTTTATTTGTTTGAGAAATAATGACGTGCAATGATTAGAAAATACCATACGACACGCATCTATTATGAACTGACCACATATTACACGTCGCACGATCATACAACATAGTCACCCCTTTTTCTTTCTTTCTTTCTTTTTGTTTGTCATTTTAATGTCATTGAAAGCTTTGGTTCTTTTTGTAAATCGTTTGCTTTGTACCCTTATTAACTTCCTGACCTTTGCTGTTTTTTAACGTTAGTACTTCGGGACTAAAGGAAACCACCCTCCTTTTACGAGTAGACTCGGAGTCCCGACCAAGTTTACTCGTATTTGAGAAATGTATTCGACTTTTGATCACGTTGACCTGGATGATTTTGCCAAGCACCCTGGGAAGCATTAGGATTATTTGGACCAGGACCCCCAGTACCAGGATTACCTGTATTACCATCACCGCCACCTTGATTCATCCAACTAAGAAACCCAGAATTACCGCTATTACCAATACTGTTATTGCCTGAAGGCGGTTGACCTGGGGGCCCTGGTTGATTTGAATATCCTTGATCGTTTCCCTGATTCTGAAGATTACCGATCAGTCCCCAGGATGCTTGATTTAATGCGGCTGCTACTAATGCAGGATTAACTGGTAACGCGGATAAATTTAACCCACCCATTGCTAATGGATTTGATAATCCACCACCACCGCCTCCCCCATTATTTTGACCAGTAATACCTAACGCTTGGAGATTAGGCATATCCAAATTACCTCTGTTACCAGGATTGTTCCAACCGTTTGGGCCCATGTTATTACCCGAGTGGCCCATATATCTGTTTCCCTGATAATTTCCCTGTACATTGTTTTCTACCGGTCCAGGTGCTCCCCTACCACGTACATTTGAATTAACTTGATTATTAAAATTCTTATTAATGCCGTCTGACTTTGGCGCTGCATTAGAAACATGAACGGAAACTCCTTTTATAATGTGGTCTTCTCCACAGAGAGATTGTGCTACTTCTGGGTCTAAGAAAGTTACAAATGAAAATGCGCGAAAAGGTTTTGGGATGAACACGTCCGTAACTTCACCGAATTTGGAGAAATAGTCGCGTAGATCGTCTGCAGTTAGGTCTTCTGTACAGCGTCCCACGAATACCTTGCAGGGTACTTGCTGAATCATTCCCTCCTACGCACAAACGCACAATCAGTCAATCATATACAACATATTCACATTTTTATCCACTAAAACTTACGTATGGTGCACATTATTCGAACAATTTCTCATATTTAAATCATATTTTATATTCGCGTTACAACTAAATCGAATTATTCGTTTTTACTCATTACAATTTTTGTCTTGTTTTCGACTATTTAATACTTCATCAAATCTTTTGATCAATTTATATATATATATATATATGTAGAATTATTTTGTTAAAAAATACTTCGACATCGATTAATCTGCACCAACGACAAGTTTTATATAAATTTTACAACAGATATTTATCTCATTAAAAATTCAAAAAGTGGTACTCTACTGCCTTCCTCGATTTACATTTAAGAATCTCCCTGCATTTTATTTTTTATTTTCTTTCGTTCTTTCTTTCTTTCTTTTTTTTTTTTTTCTCTTTTCTTTTCTTTTTCTTTTTATCATTACTTCGCGATACTATTACCTTGTAAATTCATGCATAAAAATCTGTACAATATTATCCTTGTATATAAATTTTTTTTTCTTTTTTCTTTTCTTTTCTTCTCTTATTTTTTTTTTTCTTTTTTTCTATTTTTTTTTTTTTCTTTTAAAATGTAAAATGCTGAATCTCATGCTATGTTACATTATCTTAATACGAATCAACACATATATTATGACAAAATAAAAATATTATTGTGAAGGATTAAAAGCATTTACTATAGTTTCGTTAAAAAATATTCCTGCTTTTTTTTCTTTTCTTTT